CCTTCTACTTCTATTCGGAACCGTAGTGGTTTGTTGAATGCGAAACGGCCGAGAGCCAGCCGATGAACAAATTGGTGTTCTCATTCTCCTAGACGCAGCACCAGTCCATAGTCCTGTGGAAAGCTAAAGCTTGGTTGGCTCAGGCGAGAGCTAATCCGGGATCTGACCCACGGACCGCGTGCGTGATACAGCGTGATTCCAGCGAACTGATGGGAGCGATCAGCCACAAAGTATGAATGCACTCTAAGCGTCTGAGCTAAATCTCCACTAGTGACGTGGAGTGTGATACACGGGAGGTCTGATTTGCCGAAAAACACATGAAAGCTGTCCTGTAAAAGAGCCGTCAATGCCGATAGATCTCGGAACTATAGGCCACATAAGGAGTGCGACCTTGACATCACAGTCACCTTCATACGTGCGCAGAAACAAACCGGCGTCCTGATCACAAAACAACGAACCAGGCTCAAAATGCTCACCTTTTTCGATGGTGATGCAGCAATGTGTAGAGCAGCTGCTTCTAGCGACTCAGTGCACATGGACAATAGATCACGAGCAAGCGATTGAAAAACGGCTACCTGAAACGACGCGAGCGTTCCTTTCAGTTCCAGTCATGAAATTAATTTTCATTAATACAAATAATTGAAAGGAAATACGAAATTTTGAGTTGTGAAATGAAAGCAAAACATACATCGAGACATCTGTACAATTTTGCAAGGCACATCACGGTTCGCCGTACAGTTGGATACCAAAGGCAGTGAAGATCCACGGCGGATATTGGTGCAGGACTTGGTCGCGCTGATGACGAGTCCTTGCGCACGTTGCCTGAACAATTGTTCATTGAATCTTTGTAAAGTTAATATACAATAAAAGTCTAGAATCGGCATTGGGAACACTTCAACTGCGAAATTTCACAAAAATTGTGGGAAAGTTAGACATACCATTCATCTAATAATATGCCACATTGTACAAAATTTCGAAAAAGTGCCTGATATTTGTATAAAAATAATTTTCAGAACAAATATTCAAGAACTATACTTACCGCCACCATCCGCCTCTTCCTTCTCAGCCTTTTCATCTTCTTCCTTCTTATTGGCTAACTCAATACTTTTCATCATTTCTAACTTCTCTGGATAGGCCAAATCCCCTGCAGCTGGCTTGTAGCCAGCAATATCAGTCTGACCATACAAAGCAGCCCTGTAATAAAGCCATGAGATTACGCAACAGATAGTGGTGCAACGGATTTCCGATTCAAGAAAAACTGTCATCCGGATATTCTTTCGCTTGATCCCCTTTCCTTAGAGGCACGCTCTGAGTTTTGATATTGATCTCAGGGAAGGGGAGAGAGGGGGGGGGTGCATCTGGAACGCGAGAGGGAGCGCCTCGTATTCGCCGTCGAGAGAAATGTTCTCAATTGTTAAGTTTTGTCGTTTTTCTGTGCTATATCTCAATGACAGTTTTTTTTCCGGGGAGAGACTGGGAATTCATTAGAAACTTAGAAGAAGAAAATTCTCTCCCTTTTACCACCTTTCTTAGGAAAAAGGTGGTGAAAGGGGGAGAATTTAAGACGATAAGATGGTCCGAGTGGTAGGGATAGCTTGAGAAGAAGGGGGAGCGTGGGCGGGAGGGGGCGGGGGGTGTACAGAGAGTAGAAAATTGTGGAAGTAGCGATTTAGAAAAGTTTCGTCCGTGCCCCCATACGGGCAGTCTAGGACAACCCCGCTAACATAGACGCACATAGACCGTCAAAGTCATCGCGGTCTCGGCTAATGTATAGGTACCGCAAATTATTCATTACATAAGAGAAAGTAAATAAATGTAAAGTCCATAATCCGGTTACATAACGTCCTTCCAGCTTCACTGCTAGTTTAAGTTTAAGAAGTGGCACAACTTCTACATCTGTATGCCCAGATCCATTCAACATTATGGAATTATCTGCCATCTGAAAAGCAAGCATTACAGCGCGTCTCAGAACAAAATATTCTAAATTGAATAAGTACTTCTGTGCACACGAGGTTGTTAGGTGGAACTTTATTATGGCCTGACGTTTCGACTAGATCGTCTTCATCAGAGGCCTAAACGTGGCTCATGATTCAAATTCGCTCTCTCTACACCGCCAAAGATCTCCTCTTCCCTAACGTTTTTCTGACAGACTACTGAGAAAACCCCGAAAATCCCGAATGAGGGAAAGACTCACCCAGTCCACCACAGCGAGAGCGGATGTAGCCGCTCAGTTAGTTGTTAGTACAATGAGTGGGACTTACTGTGCCAATCTTGTATAGTGATTATAGTCAGATATGGCACGTCCCACCGCTCACATTAGTAGCTCGCAGTGCGGCACAAATGGCAAGAGGTCATTTGTTAAGGACAAACACTCATTGCGGTTGTTCATTCTAGGATTTCTTGCAGAAATCCAGAATGCCTCTAACGCTGGTCTTGCCTCTAGACGCTTGCCTCATTGTGTGGCCTGCACTGTTTGCTGCGAGCTACTAATGTTGAGCGGCTGGGACGTGCATATCGTGATTTCTGGTTAGTAATCACTATTATCAAGATCGGCACAGTAAGTTCCCACTCATTGTACTAACAACTAACTGAGCGGCTACATCCGCTCTCGCTGTGGTGGACTGGGTGAGTCTTTCCCTCATTCGGGATTTTCGGGGTTTTCTCAGTAGTCTGTCAGAAACGTTAGGGAAGAGGAGATCTTTGGCGGGTGTAGTAGAAGGACGCGAAATTTGAATCATGAAGCGCGACTGTTTAGGCCTCTGTGAAGAAACGATTCTATGTCGAAACGTCAGGCGATAAGTAATGTTTCCTTATCTAAACTAACTGTGTGGCACAGTAAGTACTGTAATTCCGAAATCGTAACAATTCAATGGGCCGAGGTTTACGAAGAGAGAGAAGCTGGACACTACAAATATTCTTAGGTTTCATAAAAGTAGATTCAGAACCACGGAAATGAAGCGAAAATTTTCCAACCAAGACAATCCAATCTGTGGTGGAACGATGCAAAATGCTCACGTAACAGGGGGAGGTAAAAAAGTGGAAGTTGAAGTTTAAACGAGGAATGATTACCAACCTGTGAATAATCCTTTCCTCGACATCCCCAACAAGTTCACCAATGACATGCACAAAACCCGCTCGTGGATCAAACGAGATGCATTCTTCAGCGACAATCAGTGGAAGTACGGAACACCTTTCTTCAATCATTTCAACCTGAGGAAAGGAACATATTAGTACTGAGTAATCGCAGATTGATTATGTCATAGTTAGTGACGCAAGTTCTAAGTTGCTGAACGAGAGTGGTGCCTGTCAGGCAGGACGTTAGGTTTGGGGCGCTGTGCCCAAACCCACTCTCCACCAGCTGGTGAGAACAAGAGAAGGAATAAGACTATATCAAATCATTCGTATCAGTCGTTTTCAACCAGTTGTTGCCGCATACCCCTTCAACAACTGGCAGAGAACGGATTTGACGCAGTGGCACACTCATACTGCCTGACACGCCCTTTCGACCGCCGCAGACTGCTCTATAACCGTGATGTTGCCGATAATTACTTTAAGAATAGAGCACAACTCGGCCAATGTCTCCAAATGAGGATTGTGAATCACAATTGGGCGCAACATATCATACAGCAATCGGCAAATGGCCTCTATAAACTCTTCAAATGGATGTGGAGTATCGGAATGTTGCGTACGAGCTGATGCCACCGAAGGGGTAGGGCTGAAACGAACAAAACTCTGCGGAGTGCATTAGAGGGAGCTTCATGATACAAACCTGTGCCGTCGACTGAAACGCGATGGAGGACCGTCCGACACCTGTCCCGTTGAGAAGAACTGACGATAAAGTCGAAACTCATCATCGCATAGACCCAAAATGAATGCGCAACTGTTCCTTGTCAAGGCACATGACGAATCAGCATATGTACTAAACAGATCTCGAAATTGATCTCGAGAAAAAACTCATTTTGAAGCAGACGAACAAAGCATGCAACTCAAAACGTCAAATGGAATGTGTAATTGTAGAATGAGGAAAGAACCGTACGCACGTTGAAGACATATGAGCAAGAGTAGCCTGAATGATTGGCGTCAAAAGCTGCTGCCTAGTATTGAAATATGCCTGTTGACATTCAGCCAACATCGCTTGGAGCTCCGGAACCTGTGCGAATCTTTGCTCAGCAACTGAGAGCGCAGCCCTAAAAAATTAAAAATAAACGTTATGAAAGCTAAGAGTGTCTTCATACTGTGCTTCAGCTTTTTAAGAATTCGTGGCGCACGTCTGCGTTTTGACCGACTAGGAAAGTATAGAACCAGCGTTTTGAGCGTGTACCAGCGTTTCCAGCAACTAGGAAAGTGTAATATCGATCCAGCGTTTCTCGGCGCTCAAAATGCTCCCATTTGCTCGAAACGCTGACGCAAAGTGTGATTCTAGTGGTTCATTCTAATAAGCTCGTAGAAGAAAGCCGCTCTGCAGCTGACTAAAAAATAAACATAAAAACGTATGAAAACTCACTTCACCGAATTCGCCCGGGTAGCGAACACGCCATATAGTAAGGCGAATGTATCATCGTCAGCCCCTCCTCGACCTAACTTGGCGTAGTCTACCTAAATATTCCGTGAGAAATGAACTGACATAGTAGTCTG